GACCAGACACAAGACCAGATACGAGACCAGACACAAGACCAGGCACAAGACCAGACACAAGACCAGGCACAAGACCAGACACAAGACCAGGCACAAGACCAGGCACAAGACCAGGCGCAAGACCAGACACAAGACCAGGCACAAGACCAGGCACAAGACCGGTCATAAGTAACAGGGTGAACAATGACAAAGGAATGCTTTTGTTTCAGTTCATTTGAATAGCTAGTGACTTGAGATCAGACTGGAAGTCATGTGTTGGGCTTGTGTTGGTCTTCTGTGGTCTGGTGAAGGTCTTAAGTGGTATCAACTGCAACACTGGTTAAACATGTCTGGCTGAATTTTGCATGTACATGTATATATGGCTGCATGACATCCGTACTTGTCCTCACACTTTTGAAGATATTCCCATTGAGTTTGCACACACACACGCACACTCACACTGGCTCAAAGTAGTCTGTAGAAGTTGAGCAGGTGTATTGCCCTCATTGCAGCTGTGGCTATGGCCTGGAAATTTTGGCAAACATTCATTGTGCAATGTAGTTTCTTAGTTTTGACAAAAAACGACAATACGGTAAGAACTGTTACACAATTCTGAAACAAGTAACCACCAAGGCTCAGCATCAGTGAAGTCCATCATTCCAGAGGACTGTGGTTGTGGTATTTTGTCGTTCTCAAAGTCAATATTTTTGGGGCCGAAAATAATATAGCGCTCGGTACGGTACAAGCACCGTGTAGAGTAATACTGTCGGCAGGTGGCCAAAGACCTTGTGTCTGTTTTCCTTGTATAGTGAGTCACCGATACGGCTTTGGTTTGATGGATGCTGGGGCAATGGTTCAGCTGGCCAGGAATTGGATCAACTTACCCCAGCAGCGGAGCTGTGAAGTCAGATTTGTGCATGGCAAGTAAGTAGACCTGATTTAGCCAGTTCAGTATTCCAGAGGCACATGTCAAAAGGGGGAGCGCATCAGAGGTCCCCCGAGAGTGGCAATAGATGCAAATACAGTACAGGTCAGAATTTTAGCCAACACGCAAACACGATCAGTGAACCTGACATGCTGTTCAATGCACGCTTTGCGGTTTTTACCGTGCATTGCTGGTCCAGTGCATGATAAGCCTGACTCCGGACAGCATTATCTCGGCAGGGTTTGTGACTGCAGACCGCAAAGGTGACCGACAACGTGTAGTGAACCACTGCGCACGCAGAGCTGTCACTCCAGCTTCGTGTACGCATGTACATGTACATAAATGTACATACATGTCCATTGTGTACATGTATGTACATGTCCATGTTCACTGTATGGCAGTGCAAATTACATACATGTAGTGCCTGGTTGGTAAGATGACCGTCTTGAAGTATTGAAATATGTATCACTATCACAGCCATCTTCTTTTTGTTTTGAAAGTTGTTCAGTTGGATTACATCTGGAAAATGTCGAATTTCAGTGATTAACTGGCCAGCAGTCCACCGTGTGTGTTTAGCTACTACAAAACTTTTTCCCATATGTAAACTTTGAATTTTAGACTCACGGGAATGACTGATGTGACGACGACGCTTTTCTTGCTGGTTCTAATGCTAGTTGGTTTCAAGCAATTCCCGATTGCGCAAGAAACTTTTTCACAAGTAAACAGTAACCACGAAAGAAATCCATTCCTCAGCCAGAACTATTGTAACAAGCTGATTTTATGATGAAGTGTTGTGTGAAAAGATGATGGTACTTTCCCATTCAGTGACACTTCGTCTCTGGTGACTTGTAATAACTCCTGGTTGGAGTATGTAAACTTGTGCCTTTTTATGTCCAGAAATATGGATTATGGATGGACATAAAAACGAGACCAATCATTGTGGGGGGGGTTTGTCAGTTGACTGGTGGAGCGAGTAGAGGACTGTTTTTCAAGTCCTCTTGATGAAAAGGGTGAAAAGATGACACCAAGGATTCCTCCAAAGCACCCGGGCCCTGTTGCTCACAGGCCTGAAGAAACCTTTAAAGAGAGAAACAAGCAGCTTCGGTGTTGGAGGTGGGAGGAAAGCCCCATGAGATTGGGACTGAAATCTCAGTCTACGTGCGGCGGGCAGTGGGAGTCAAACCGGGGGGGCCCACTGAGGTGAAGGGGAGAATCACTGCGCCAACTTGACTTGTGGGCCGTATTCCTCCAGGTAATTATACATTGCTCACTAAACACTTCTTTTTAACTATCAACCTGATCTGCAGGCATATCGGGGGCAAAGGGAGACTTGGCACCTTCACACTGGATACCTCATCCTGCGCCCAGGGCCCCACCTATCTGGAGCACGTCCAGTCCACTGTGGAACTGACTTTCAGCTGCCGGGGTGCCCTCAGCCTCACCCTTGTCTCGCCGGCGGGGACGCACTCCAGGCTCCTGGCCCGACGTCCCATGGACAAGAAACAGGGCTCCTTTGACTCCTGGCCCTTCATGAGCACCCACTTCTGGGGGGAGAGAGCCCAGGGGGTGTGGACGCTACAAGTGGCGAACAGC